GAGAGAGAGAGGCTTAAACTTAAATCTGAGATGCTTTTTGTAAGACAAAATCGTGTGACCTTCGGGTTAAACCAGACAATATTTCATAGGTTGATTGCGGATTTTCACATGTATAAAGCTGACAAATTTTAAATTTTCAGGATGCAGGATGGGGAGGATGAGTATTCTCTTGTTGTAAATTAAAAAAGGTTGCATGAGCTGCAGTTGTGAAGGCCTATATCAATTGAAAGCTTATATGGAGATGGTATTACAATCTTGCACAGCTTCAAAAACTTGGATGATGAAGTAAGTTAAATAAACAAAATTTTAAAATCTTTCATTTTGTTTTTTCTGTCCCTTGCATTTGTTCTCAACTGTTGCCCATTCTCATTTAGGTTGTTAGTTTTCTGCTGCTCAATATACACTTAGATGTAGCCTGGTCTTGCACTCTATTATAAACAGTGAAACTGTCTCTGAAGGATCCTTGTTCTCTCTCCTGTCCAAACGTGATACCTTGTTGGAGGAACTTGATTACTTTCTTAAAGCTCCTCCTGGAGTCAGGCAGGTGGACAAATCTGGAAATCGACTAGCCTGCAGGGTAATCCTTTTGCCTAGATATATGAATTTTTTAAAAAAGTCCAGAAGACTGTTTTCTCTAATGAAGTTTACTTAGTGACCCAGGTTTGTACTATTCTAGCAGATGTTTGGTGTCTGTTTAGGAAGACTAATTTTTTGTCAACAAAGCTTGAAAGCTTAGGATATTGTCCAGATGCTGCTATTCTTCAAAAGTTTTGGAGTCTTTGTGAGCAACAGCTCAAAATTTCAGGTGACAATTTCTTTCATTTCCTTTACTAAGCTCAATCTTTGAAATCCTTAACTTGCTACTAATGGGCCAGTCATGATCTGGGTAAAATCCGCTGGAGCCAAGAAACTGTTACGTGCTCTCTGCCTGTTGTTTACTAACACCTTCAGATTTTGTTGCATGTTTTGGTGAGAATTCATGTCAAACTTCACATTGCTATTTATTTGCAAGTTTTACTTACATCTTGGATGTATGTGTTGTAGACGACACAGAAGACAAAGATGTTAACAAAGAGTACATTGAGGAGACAAATAGAGATGCAGTCATGATTGCCGCTGCAAAGTTGATTGCTAGTGATACAGTTCCAAAGGTCACTGTGTGATGTATAATTTGACTGGCTATTTCTGGCAAATTTTGTTGTTTTACGTTATATTTCTGATTTCTGAAGTCTGCATAGTAATTTACTTGCAATACCCGTTCTTTTCTTAATTTAGAAAACTCATCCAAAAACCAAATTCTACTGCAGGATTATCTTGCTCCGGAGATAATTTCTCATTTTGTAATGCATGGAGCTGGTATTGTGGAGATTGTAAAGAGTCTGATCACAGTTCTAAAGAAAAAAGACGATGATGTCTCTGTAAACTTTCTAGAAGCTTTGAAAAGGGTAGAGTTCTTGACTTCAATTATTGTGGTGAAATTTGGTCAATGATGCCTCTTCTCATGTCCTAATCTACAATATCTTTCATTTTTGCTGTATTGGTTATGCCTTTTTGAAAAATATTTACTTGCAGCCTAATTTACGGCTGGCATTTTGTTTATTTTTCTGCAAAATTTTATGCACTACCTCATGTACCTAATGAAGGTGGATATCTCAGTAGGGTTGATATAAAACCCAAGATTCAGCATCAAAGCCAACTGACCAACATCTTGTAATTAAAAAATAAAAAGTGAGAACTGAGAAGACAAACAAAGCTTTTTCTTCTTTTCAGAGACATGAGGCAAACATCAAAGGCTGCCACTTGTTTGGAGTAGAGGCTGTAAGGGCTTATTGTATAGGTTGTTTGAGATTATATTCACATAGAAAAGAGTTTGTAAAATTATTTTTAATTGAAATTTGCTAGTTTTCACTATTTTAAGAATAATTTTGTCAAATTTATTGAAAATAGTTAAAGTGGAATTAAATCAATAAGGCTACTACTTGAGCTTTGAATGTTGTCCTCTTAATATCAAGGATCTGTTCTTCAGAGTTTGTGGGAGAGACATACTGATTATAGAATGCTAGAAGCATACTCTTTGACTAGGTCTATAATTGAGTTTGGCGGAAGCATTGTGATGTGTCTGTCTCCATTTATATATTCCCTTTAATAGTTCAGCCTTTTTTTATATTTTACCAGGCCTATCGTCGACATGTAGAACTCTCGAGAAGTGATGATGAATCCTTAAAAGGCGGGTCTTTTCAAGAGTGTAAGAAACTGGCAGCTCGGCTTGCTGGATTATTCATTGGTGCTGCTTGGAACAAGCACAAACCAGATATTTTAAAGATTATTAAGCAAGGCATCGAGTATGCCTTTCAAGATGCTCCAAAACAGCTTTCTTTTCTGGAAGCTTCTGTGCTTCATTTTGCATCAAGACTTTCTGTGCCTGACATCCGAGATTTGGAAGAAATTCTCTGATGTAATGTAAACCATTCTATTTTGTTCGTTATACAGGGATCAACCATTGTGCATTGCTTAATATTTTATTATTTTGTAGTCTGAAAGATGTCCAAAAGCAGACAGAGAATGTAAATACAGAAAAGGATACAAGCGGGTGGCTCCCTTATGATGCGTTTTATGATAGTTTATAAGAGAAGTATGCAAAGAACGAAGGGATTCAAGGTACCAGTGAATCTCAATTTAATCATTCTCTGGTTCTTTTGTATGTGAAGTGTGAAATTTTGATCAAAAGTTGCCAAGCAGTGCGGTTTTCTTCTAATAAATGTTTCCTCCTTTTCTTTCCTTGTACCAGGTCTTATCATCATTGTTGAGTAAGAGTTTGTTCTTTAGATTTTAGTTCAAGAGCTAATTAAGCTGGTCTATTGCGGATGAGAAGGAAGGGACTATTGCAAGATGTAGGGGTCGTCCTCGGAAGCGGCAAAATATTGAGGGGAAGAGTTTTTTGATGAGCACAGTTCAAGTGAAGAAGAGGATTCAATTAGTTCATCAGACCATGAAGATGCTCAAGGTGAGGGAGATAAGGAAGATGAGGAAGAGGATGATGCTCCTTTGATACATTCACTTAAGTCCTCTTCTAAGTTGAGGTCATTGCGAGTCTCTAGAGAAGAAAACAGCGGCCAGTCAAAAACTGGAACTTCTGGAAGAGCTACAGATAAAACATTAGCTGCTTCAAATACATGAGGTATGAAATGAATTTTTTTGGTTTCCATGCATGATTTGGATATTGGTCTTCTGGCTAAGACAAGAATTTAGAGTGTGAACTGCAATTAGATTGGAAGTTAGGGATTTATGAATTAGGAACTAGATTAGAAGTTGGAAAATTATAGTCCTCAAATATCAGTTTCTGTTAAAAATGTTATTTTAGGATGTTTGCCCCAACATTAAAGTCCCTTTCAACCCTGACTCCCTGAGGAGTTGAAATACGTCCACAATACAGCTAGTTTTCTAACTTATCCCAGTAATAGAGGGGCAAAACTTTTCATAATTATTGCTTATGTGATTGGGTGTGACAAATTCTTAACCTGATTACTTTCATTTTGATCTTGCAGGGGCATCCGACTATAACAAATTAAGTTTATAGCTGAATTTTGTATACTTTACAGTTTTAGTGTTTTTCTTTAACCCTCCATTGCCCTTGGTTGGGGGTTGTTGGAGACGCGTCCTTTATTTAGCAGAGTTCCATTGTGCAGTCTCCCCTGCCTTGATTAATCCTTATCTGCTGTATATAATGAAATTTTTAGTTCAAGGAAATATTTACTTTCCTTGCTTTCACCAGCTTGATGGCAGCTAGCATAGAATCACTGTTTACGATGGCTAAATGGGTCATTGCTTGTGGAAATTTGGGAGCTGGGATGGTTATTGTAACAAATATGTTTCATACATAGTAGATGCAGAAGTTGCTGCAGCCAAGTTTTCAAGTTTTCTAGCAATAGAGGAACACCACCTTTTGCTAGAGGTTAATCCAACCAGGAGAATTACTACATTGACTGATGTAGAAGGCCAGTTTACTTTAATCCAGTCTTCCCTTTTTTGATCGTCCAAAAAAAAAAAAGGTTTGCTCTGCATTCAATGACACCTTTGCTACGTAATACTTAGGAAGAAGAGTTAAATGTTTATAATTATTTTTTAATTATAGTAAAATATTTAATATAATATTTGATTTTTTAAAATTTTTGATGTATTATTTAAATTATAAATTTATTAATTAATATAATATTAAAAAAATTGATTGTCATTTATGTATTATTGTTAGAAGTTAATGATTTTAAGAATGAATATTATATTAATTAATAAATTAATTATTTAAATATTATATAAAAATTTTTAAAGTTTCGATATTATATTATAATATGGGCGAAGAAAAATGATCCGTTTCTACTAACATCATAATATAAAACATAAGGATTTTGTTATTGTGGATTGATACAAGTGTGTTTAATAAGTATTTTGAAAAATGTGATTAGAAATTTTAAATGTTTAATTTTTTTTTGAAAAAATATTCTAAGTAATTGAAATGTTTAAAAAAATATATAAATAATAAAATATTAAAATATACAGATAATAAAATAATTTTTTTATCCCAAACGTATTATCACGAAAGTATCTCTTACGAAAATTTTTTATTTGAAATGAAAAATGAAAATTTTAAATTGTAAAACCAGTTAAAATAATAAAGTCTAAATTTTATTACTTTATTTAAATTAATTCTTATGTTTTTATTATATTCAAATAATTTTGAACTTTTAATTTATATTCAAATAAAGTCTTGGTTTTGTACTTACATAAGCCTTTAATAGACACTATACAAATGAAAAAATAAAAGCTTATTTAAGTATAATAAAAATATACAAATTTATTTGAATAAAATTAAATAATTCAAGAATTTTTTAATATTTTAGTCAAATTTTTTTAAACATTATTTAGCATTGGTTTTGGACGAAAAGCAACTTTTGAAGGAGCAAAAATTACTTTCAACCGCAATACTAAACCGAGCCTAAATCCAAGAGTAAAACGGCTCTCTAAAGATTAGGCTGTCCCTGATCACCATAAATTTGGGAATCAATTGAGACTCTCCTTATACCTTGACGAGTGCGATTCATGGTTGGCTTACTAAAGCTCAGAAACCAACCTTTGAAATAGAACAAAACTGTCCCACCAAAGCATGTATGGGATGTTTCTCAAAAAATTAAAATGAGATCAATGGCACTGCCGGAAACTCGGATTGAGTTTAACAGGATGCATGATGTTGGTCATCAACCACAGTGCACACATATGTTTATATAAGCAGCATAAGAAAACAGAAGTGATGAAAGGATAGCATTAGGGGCAAATCGAGTGAGCATGATATGATATTTCTAAGCATTATAGCTTAAATTCCTTCAATAACACCAAACAAAGAAAAACAAAAAAACAAAAACAAAATTGAAGGGCTTCTCTCATCATGAAAATTTCTCAAGCCTGCAAAACAAGTAATATAGAAACTTTAAAATAGCGACAAGGCCATTAATTTTTTTTATCTTCTTCCAGCAATCCTTAATAAAGGAGAGATTATACCCTGTATTTCTTGCAACGAGTGCTGTATCCTTATCTCTTCCTCAATTGACCGCTTAAGATTTCTAATATGACCCTTCAAGGCATCTGAACTCCTGATATCTTCAGCCCTCATCTCAATAACCTTCTGTGTCAATCCCATCAACAAACTAGAATACCTTGGCATTGTGGCATGCTTATTCAAAAACATCAACAATAAACCGAGCTCCTCTGCATCCAAATTCGATACACATTTCAATAACTTCTTTCTCGCCACCAACTCCTCCATTACAGCAACCACATTCTCAGGGTTCTTCCTACCTAAAACCGAAACTAATGCATCCTTATGCCTAAACTTCTTCAACAACTTATCATGCTCGGCCAGTTTGACCTTCTTAGTTCTCATCACTAAATAATCCCCCTCAGCTGGCTTCTCACTCTGCCCTCTATGAAAATACCTAAAATATGTAGGCCTCAAAACCCGTCTCTCGGGCTCCACTGTGCTCCCGAAACCCAGAACATTCCCTCTTCCACTCTCCTCATTCTCCTTCCCTTTCCTTCTCCCAGCAAATATAATCCCATTTGCTGTTCCAATCACTCTAGTCCTACAATCCGGTGAAAGGCTGACCGACATAAGAGGAGCAGGAAACCTCATTGAATGAGTAATCTTCATATTACCATAATCAAAAACCTTCATGTACCCATCTAAACCAACACTCAAAATCCTATCTTCCATTGCCTCACCCCCTCCATTTCCCTTCCCAACCCTTCCTACACAAATTGATGTAACAGTTTTATTATGACTCTCCATAGAATAAACCATTCTCCCTCCTCCAATCAAATCCCAAATCTTCACTGAATTCCCACCAGCAGTCGCAATCAACCCACCAGAAGGCAAATAAATCACATCTTCCACCGGTTTCCCATGATTCACTTCCAAAACCGACCTGGAATTTTCGACTCTTACATCCCAAACCTTAACAGTATGATCATAAGAACCAGTTATAAACATATCAGCACTTACCGGACTACAATCACCGCATCGTACATAATCCTTATGTCCCATTAAGTCCAAAACCAGGCTTTCCCCAGCAACATCCCAGAATTTAACAACCGCATCGTCACCGCCGGAGAGTAAATGGAGCTTATCAAGAACTGGGTACTTGACGAAACGCACCGGACGGGTATGGGACCGGAGGCGACGAAGTGGGGTCCGAGTCTTGACATCGAAGACTCGGATGAGACCAGAGAGGTCGGAAGCGGCTAAGAGGAGGCCGTCGAGACGGAAGGAGAGAGAGGAAACGACGTCGGAGAAGGAGGAGATGGTGAAGGAGGGAGAAACGTCGCCGTCTGAGAGGGACAGTGGGGAGAAGAGAGAAAGGGAAGCGGAGTAGGCAGCGGCGAAAAGATGGGGAGCGGAAGGAGAAAAGGAGATCGAAGAGATTGAGGAAACGAGGTTTGGGATTTGAGTAGATTTGAAAGAAGACCAGTATTTGGATTCTGGGGTTTGGGATTGGGTTCTTGGTTTAGGTTTTAGTTTTGGTTTGATTAGGAAAGTTCTTGAGATTGTTGTTGTTTGTTGTTCTGGTCTGATTTCTGCCATTTTCGTTTGAGATGGAGAATTTTGCTGCAAAATGGAGGTTTTTGCAGTTTTAGGGTTTTGCTTCCTGGGCTTTTAGAGAGTGCAACTTTGCTGCAATAAAAACGACGCGCTCAAGAAAAGAGTTTATATTTAAAATTGTCCGGATGGTCATATCATTATAAAATTTAAAATTTTAAAATCTTTAAAAATAAATATTTTTAATTTTTGAAATAAATTAATGACGTAAAAATTTATAATGCATGATAGTATATAATATTTATATTCCGATATTATATCAAATAAAAATTTTTATATTTTTAATAAAATTTATTTTAAATTACATATATTACCTAATAATTTGACCCACTGAACCGTTACTCCATTCCACTCGCAGAAAAAAACTTAAAAAAAAAAGTTTGAGATCAATATTAATATTTGGGCTTAAATCATAGGCCCATTGACAGATATTGGGGTGTTTAAAAGGGGCCCGATTGTCCGACTAAGATCAAATGGTAGAGCGCTTGCGTTGCATGAGGGAGATTAAGGGTTCGATGTCTTGCATCTTCATCTAAATTTTCTTTTTTGCATATTATCCGGTATCAAAAATTTCAGTAAAAGATTCACATGGAGGTTCGTTGCAGAGCCTGGAAACGTACCTTATCCTCTCATATCTTATAAGACGGAGAAATTTCCCGCCATTTTTCTCTAGGGTTTTGCTTCACATTAAGAGGAATGTCCGTTCCTTTGTTCAATCTTGCTCCTAATTTGACAGTTTCAAGGCTCTGTTTAGGTTTGTCCATGATTATGCTGTCTGCTGCCTCATCTATCCAACAAATTGGAACCCTAATCCTATCTCTATGTCTCTGGGTTTTGTCCTTAGGAACAATGACTTTTGGCGAGCAGAACTCTCTTACTCAGTCATTTCGTCTTCTCGATCAAGCTTTTGAAGCGGGAATCAACTTCTTCGACTCTGCCGAAATGTACAATTTCCCCTTACTTGTCTCAAATCCATTCTCCCTTTTTCGCATTCTTTTGGTTTCTAAGCGTTGGTGTGTTTATGTTCATATTCTGTTTTGCAAGTATAGGTATCCAGTTCCTCAGCGTGCTGAGACTCAAGGGAAGAGTGAGGAATACTTTGGCCAATGGGTTAGACAGAGGAAGATCTCCCGTGATCGTGTTGTCATTGCTACCAAGGTTAGATTAGCTCTGTTTCTTGCCTTATCAATTGTTTAACTTATTGGTTGATATATTCTGATTATCAGTGTCCATTTTGATATATTTATCCATCTCACTTAATCCTTTTTTGAGTATGAGTTCACTCCAAATATGTATGTGGCTTTAATTTAGTCTCATTGCAAGAAAATAAGAAAAAAAATCAGTTTCATTGTTTAGTTTACACATTTCAATCCAAGGTTGTGAATGTGGCACTAGTATAATATACATGGTAGAACAAGTTCAGATTAAAAAGGAATGCCTTTTTATGCTTGGCACCACTTGGCTCTTAATATACCTTATGATCTATTGAACTGAATGGTGACAAGGATTCCAGCAATTAGCTGTGAAGTTTAGGATTCATTGTGTGGACTTATGATGATTCTCATTATGTGGGAGATATAATTTTCAAACTGAGTATTTTTCTAGTAGTGTATGTCTGTCAATCTATTAATCTTTGCCACACGTGCAAAAGTTTTGCATTCAATACCCATCATAACAAGTGGTTGTGAGGCAGGTTTCTGGGCCTTCTGGACAAATGAGTTGGATTAGAGGTGGGCCAAAGTGTTTAGATGCCAGGAATATCACCGAGGCTGTAGATAGCAGGTTGTTTCCATATGTTGTGTTGCTGTATCATTGCTCTGGAAATGTGTCTGGATTGTTCCTCATTTGAAATTGTTTTGCTGTGTAATTAGTGCTTTAGGATGTTATGCTAACCTGCTGTGCATAATTTCATTATCATTTATATCAAGGGGAATTCTTTGTCTAATTCCTGATTGTCTTTGCATGTTAAGTTACCCTTTTAGATCCAATATTAAAAGCAAGTAATTTGTTTCCTTGAAAGAATGCGTTTTAATATTCTGGATGGTCAACCTTTTATTCACTGAATCTTTAACTTATGATTAATTTATAATAGTTGCAAATTGTCTGTCTGAATCTGGTTTTCTTGGCATTCTTTCATGTCACGTAACTTGTTTACTTAAATCAATAGTTTTTAGCACCTCGAATGCTCAAGCTTTGAGGACTGAACACTTTGGCCTCCTTGCAGTACTTGCTTGTAGAAGTTTGACGATTATGTTACTCTATTTTTGTAGATTGAACAAATAGTGCATACTCGTACAACTGGAGTTACTGAGAGAACTGTTATCTAATTTAAACAACATCACATTTGGTTGGTGCACATAACCGACAAATTGGATTTCTAGTATAACGATGTATGTGTGTTCCCTAACCATAACTATTACGAATAGAATTCTAGTAGAATGGTGTATGTGGGCCTGTGTGTGGATGGGTGTGTATTCTTTTATGCTCTAATGCCTTCATGTTTGAGTTTTGCAGTTTAAAGCGTCTGCAAATGGATTATATTGATCTTTATCAAATCCATTGGCCTGACCGGTTTGTATGTAGATCTTATCCTTCATTTATTTCCCTGGGGAGGTTGGGGTTGTGGAGTGGCCAATTCAGACAAACTATGGAAACAGCGGAAAGAGAAATACAACTTTCTTAGATATTGTCTCATATACTTTAGTTAATCTTTCATTTCAGTTTTCTTTCTCTATAATACTAAAACCATTATTTAAAGTGATACATGGCTGTTTCTGCAGCTATGTTCCCATGTTTGGAGAAATTGAGTATGACCCAGTCCGACAATTCTCTTCTGTCCCGATAGAAGAACAACTTGATGCACTTGGCAAAGCTGTTGATGCTGGTAAGGTAAGTGATATATGATGTGTTTTGGCTCTACACACTCTCACCCATCAAGATTCAGTAAAATAGTTGTTTTTGACTTGTAGATCAGATACATCGGACTCAGTAATGAAACACCATATGGTGTCATGAAGTTCCTTCATTTTGCAGAAAATAGTGCTTGCTACCCTAGAATAATATGCATGCAGGTTGCCTGTGGTTTTGTCATTAAGAGCAATATATCCTCTTCCTCTCTTCCTCACTACTTTGTATATGTTGAGGCTGATAAACAGCGTCTATTCTTTATGATAGAATTCATACAGCTTGCTCTGCCGAACTTTTGATTCTGGAATGGCTGAGTGCTGTCATCATGAGAGGTATACTGTGGGTTTTTATGTTTATAAACGGAGAAGGGTAGATGAAATTTAATTTCATCATGTATAGGATGTCAATAAAAAATTTCCTCATCTTACAATTGTCAATCTCTGGAAAATCAAAGAATTGATATGAATAAGTTATGCATTCCATGTTCTTTTAATGTATTCTTTCTTTCTTTCTTTCATTTTTATAATTAAATTGTCATTCTGAATCAGATGTATCATTATGAATACTGAAATATAGAATTTATTTCTACAGTAATGACTGACAAAATGGACATACAGCTGCTGCTCATAATTGAAGTGTTATGGAATTCCGTTGATTTCTGCTCATCATGCAAAAGACATATATACATATATTTACTTATGTCATTTTATGGAAGTTACCTTTGTTTTAGTTAGTTTTCCTCACTTATGTAGATTATTGGAATTCCTTACGGAAAGGGTTTGTTCTTATAGCATCATTATCTTCAAAATGTCTTTCTTACATTGATTCAATAATTTATAGGATCAACTTGTTGGGCTACAGCCCACTTGCAATGGGCATTCTTTCAGGGAAGTATTTTGCTTCTGATGGTGGTCCTCAAAATGCTCGGTTAAATCTTTTTAGAGGTTGATTACTGACTCTATCTTTTATATTACATTGTTTAGGATTCCTCCAAATTATTGATGATCATTTTTTTTTTTTATAATCTCATTCTGTTTTATAGGGAGATATTCAGAAGGGGAATCCCGATACAACCTGACGAGTAACACATTAAAAGCAGCTACAATGGTAAGCAAATTATTGTGAGTTTTGAACCTAGACATTAGTCAATGGCACACTATATTGTAGTTTGAGTGGGAAAATGGAATTTGTTTATGCATTTTCTACTGACTTTTTGTATGATGATTAATTCAAATGGGTTTAATGGAGGACACCTATCAAGAAGGATATTGAAGGATGTTCATAGTAACAATTTGTGTGTGTGCGAGTACATATGGACCATGCTAACATAGTGGGCTAGATGTGTAGGTTCATAATCAAAGAGTGTTTGTCAGAAAAGCTTATTGTTTGACGTGGAAAGCTTTTTGCATCACAGCATATGGTCTTTGTTAAGATTAAAATTTTACTTTTACATGTAATACATCTCTGTTAATGCTTAATGACTTTGAATAACAATTGACATTTTTAATTCCATCTCCCTGTCTTTTCAGGAATACCTTGCTATTGCAGAAAAATATGGACTTCATCCTGTATTGCTTGCAATTGGTATGTAGTTTTGTTCGCATGCATGCACATAAAGATGTTCGCTGTTCATATGTCAAAGTAGTAGTAGTCATCAATGAGATCACATGTATTTATTAGTTGGTGAGATCTTGTGAGTATAGCATGCTCTAAAATTAGGGGATCCTTAATGATTCTAAAAAAATCGGTTAAATTTGAATACAAAGTTTTGATCCTCTCTGCCTTTTATTTCAAAACCCATTGGAGATTTGAAGCCAGTTTTGGATTAAGCCTTAAGGTTAGAATGCCTTGGATTTATGAGCTTTATTACTCTTTAAGTGCAAAGGGTTTGAACATGGTATTTAGCTGTTTTAATGGAGAGCTTTGATCCGTTAATATCATAATGCTTTAAATCAGCTCTGTTTCTTACTCTTGATTTCTGTTTTTTGTGTTGCCACTAAACCCTTGTCTTCTCAAATCTTTTGCGGCAGCCTTTGTTTTGCGTCATCCTCTGGTTGCAAGTGCTGTATTTGGAGTGACCAAATCATGGCAGCTTCGGGAGGTTATAAGTGCATGCAGTGTTGAGCTCTCATCTGAGATTATTGCAGACATTAGCAAAGTTCATGCTAAGTTTCCAAATCCATGTCCCTGATCAATATTGAGATGTT